TAGCTTGTTACAGTTAGCTTGTTACAGTTAGCTTGCTACAGCTAGCTTGTTACAGTTAGCTTGTTACAGCTTGCTTGTTACAGCTAGCTTGTAACAGTTAGCTTGCTACAGTGATTCACTGTCTTTCAGTCTGTAGCTCCGTCCTCTTTCAGGCGTCTCATCCTTCGTCGGACTCGGGGACGATTAGACGATTTTTTGCTGCTGTGCTTGTATTGTTAGTTACTCTCCTGAAGTTGGACTCAGCTCCGGGGAAAATGTTCGGAGAAGGAACTCAGATGAAGAAGTCGATCCAGCGATGTGATTCCTCAACCAACAAGGTTTTTACCTTTTTTAAGATTTCTGACTTAATTCAATCTAAAATAATTCCTGACTTTTCCCGGCAGATTAAGACGTTATAATCCTCGTGATTATTTCTTCACAATATGTGAATTTTTAAGGGAAATTCACATTTTTCCTCCGATTATCACGACCTCCTCCAGGTTAGTATCACCACACGACCTCTGAATAACTCACAGACGTTTGAAATGTTTTCACTTTCACACGTCGTTCAACACTTTGTGATTTTACACCTAAACCCACGTGTTGATGAATGAGACAAAATGTCCTGCGACCGGCGTCCTGTGTTACTTAAGCTCCGTAAGTTTCCATCAGTTACGTGATTTAGTGTTTTGACTGTGACCCTGAAACACTGATGTTCTGTGGAGATGTGTCATGGCAGGTTGGTTCTGTTGTTTCTCTTTCAGGTGAAGATCCACGTCAACAAACAAGAAACTCAAAGATTTAACTCAGCTTCACGTCACCATCACAAACATGTCAGAGTTTACAGGAGGCCTCAACACGCGTGTGCTTAAAGTGTCAATAAGATCATTTGAACTGAGAGAGAGAGAGGGAACAGAGGATGAGTGAGGGAGAGATGAAAGAGAGAAGAAGACAACAGGAAACAGCAGAGAGGGAAAACAGAGAAAAGAGAGAGAGAGAGTTGGAGGATGGAAGAGAAAGAGGAGAAAGGAAGGTGTGAGAGTGGAGAGAGAAACAATTAGAGAGAGAGAGAGAGTGTGTGTGTGAGAGGGGTGTGTGTGTGTGAGAGAGAGAGAGGGAAGGGTGTGTGAGAGAGAGAGAGAGAGAGAGAGAGGCTCGTGCACCAGCCGCTCCGGTAGTTTTGGCTCCGGAGACGCGCAGGACGCAGCGAACTGTCCCGGCTTCCCCTCGATGGTTCACCGCAGCCCGGAGGAGGGACCGACCTTCCAGCGCTGCCCGGAGATCAGCGCCCAGGAGCCGCAGACAGTCTGACAGCAGTAAGCCTCCTCCGAGCTCCAACCACACTTTCACATTAAAAACCAAAAGACAGGAAAACAACCACACCAACATCCCGGGACTCTCCGCGGCGCCTCTGTCCGCGCACCGCTGCCTCTGTTCGGCCACGGACGAGCCGCCGGACCGCTGATCTGACTTGGACTTAGTCTCCGGACCATCGCTTTATTTATCCCGGAGAAACTTTCACCTTTTTATCCGTTTTACGTTGTAAACTCTTCCAAACTGTGCGTAAGCGTTTGCTCACTTTGATCAAAACTACGTTTATTTGGAGCTTTTCGTGCGTAAAATCTGCGCTGAACCAGCGGAGAGTCCGCGGGTCTGAAGTCACTTTACTCTTTTCTTTATTTCTTATTCTGAACTCACAAACATTCAGTCACAGAAGGAGACTTTTTAAAAATAAACCTTGAGAAAAAAGACGATCCGAACACTTTAGACTGTGAACTCAGTGAATTGGCTCCTGAGTCTCAGTCAGACGGTTAAATTTACAGTTTATATTATATTAAGTTGGTGGATCTGATGTTTATTTTATATTTCACTGATTTAACGACAGAAAAAGACGCAGCTGGAGTTTTATTTCTTCACTTCACCAGTGGATCTGAAAACAGAAGCTGATTTTTAAACTCATTGGTTTTTTATTTTCTGTAAACTGAAGCCTGGTGTTGAAGTTTCTCCTGAGCAGAGTGAAATCTGTGTTTTCTTTTCAAACTTCAAACCTTCAGACTCAATAAAACCTGCTGAGCATCTGAAACACAAACCGACTGAGCTGCTGAGTTCAAATGTTCAAAGAAGAGAAATCAGGTGGAATCAGAATCAAAAGGTTGAAAAAAAAAAGATTTTAGGATCAAGTGATAATCAAAGTGTCATTTAAATAAGATTTCATGGAGGAATCAGGCAGCGTTTAACAACTCCAACGAAAACTTTACCTTTTAAAAGGTTCAACACTTCATATGATCTAGAGTCTGACGTGGTCACATTTAAAGAGAAAATGTTCTGCAGGGTTTTGTCTGAGGTTAAATTTCTGTGTAAATTCAACAGAAATAACGTGAGTCAGGATTTTCCAACAACTGAAATGTGAATATCCAGTAAATCAGGTTGTGATGAACTGATGAATGAATGTGAGTCATGAGGCTGAATTCAGTTTGAAGTGTGATTATCATCAGTTGAAGAAACACTTTGGAACAGGTTCAGACTTTAATCTGATTTAATGTGACGTGTTGGACTTTGTTTGTGAGACGTCTTGTGATTCTGACCCGTCCTCTGGACACGGTGTGTGGACACATCAGTGTGTGTTGTGATGATTGACAGCTCGTCCTCTGTTTCCTCAGCATCTTTTGGTGCAGCCATGCTGAAGCCGGGCGACCCGAGCGGCTCGGCCTTCCTGAAGGTGGACCCGACCTACCTGCAGCACTGGCAGCAGCTCTTCCCTCAGGCGCAGCTGAAGGCGCCTCTGGCTCCGCCGCCTCATCCTGACCGCCTCTCCATCCCCATGGACAGCCTGCGCCCGTCCCGCCTGCACAGCCACCTCCTGGCCTCCACGCACTGCACCTCCTCCTCCTCTTCTTCTGCGTCCTCCTCAGTAGCTCCTTCTTCAGCAGCAGTAGCAGCAGCAGCTGCAGCTCTCACCCCGTCCTCCTCCATCTCCATCTCCGCCTCCCCAGGGCTCTCCCAGCTGCCCGTGCCCCAGCAGATCGCTCTCTTCGGGCAGGCGTTGGCCCCGGTGTGTGCTGGACCCGGAGGCCCTGGAGGAGGAGGAGGTGGACCGGGAGGCCCTGGAGGAGGAGGAGACCTGGTGGTGGTTGTCCCCCCGGAGAACCAGCAGGGTCACAACCCAGCAGTGGGGTTCCTCCATCAGGCCAAAGAGCACAGCTGTGGGGGGGTGGGGGTGGTGTCGTCCAGCGTGAAGAGCAGCAGCGGAGGAGGCGGCGGCGAGGAGGGCGGCAAAGGAGCAACAGCCAGGTTCAAACTGACGTCGGAGGAGCTGGACTACTACCTGTACGGACAACAGAGGATGGAGATCATCCCACTGAGCAACCACACGGGAGAGGTCAACAACCGTATGTACACACACACACACACACACACACACAGACACACACACACACACACACACACACACACACACACACACACACACACACAGGTTGTGATGAGGATTTCATGACTTCAGTAAAAGTTTTTAAAAATGTGAATCGAGGCCTCACAGTCGACCTGCGTCTTCACCTCTGAGCCTCATGTGTTTACATACGTGTGGTTTAACATGTGTGTGTGAGGTTCTCACTGAGTTACAGAGTGTGTGTATGTGTGTGTGTGTGTGTCAGCAAAGACTTTGACCTCCAGTGTTTTGTCTCTTTATTATTATTTCTATAATATTCTTGGTCTGCAGTTCTCAGTAGATTCCTGATAATTAATTATTATTCTTTAATAATAATTAAGAATAAGCTCTTTTATGTCCCCCGCAGTCAAACATATATATTTTTTAATGTCTTGTATTTCTTATTTCTTTATTTTAGTTTATTGATTTACTCTGATTTTGAAAGATATTTCTATTCAGAGCTCCACAGAATTAATAACTGCAGGTGATTTTATTTATTTAATTTAATCATTAAAATAAGAGAAATTAATTCAAATAGATTAATCTCACTTTAAAACACATTTTTGCTAATATCTCATTTTGATTTATTTAAATGTTGAGTACCAGCTATATGAAATGTATTCAGATTAGTAAAAGTCCTTGATGTTGTGTGTGGTCAGATTTGACCTGGACCAGAATTCACTGGGTTTTTATTTAAATCAGAAGTTGTTCTGCTCCTTCATCACTCGGCTCATTTTTAATGATGATTTCACTGGATCAGCATCGATCGACTGAATATTAGTTCAATCTTCAAACAGCGTCAAATGTTTTTTCTCATTTAACTTTTCTCTGTATTTATTTTTAATTTATTATTTCTGCTGCAGTTAAAACATTGAATCTAAATATTCCTTTAAACTGAATCTTATTCGTTTAGTTATCGACTCAAAACTCGTCAAACTCCTTCATGATGCGCGTGTGCGCGACTTTTACGCATGACGGTGCTCTGTCAATATCTGTACACACGCACACACACACACACACACGGTGACCAAAGACGTGAAGCCTCGTGTCTGTTCAACCGGAACAGATTTAAGGTGGAATCTTGAGTCTGTTCATTGATTTATTGATCGATTGATTTCGCGCCACGTGCTCCTGATGGTTTCTCTTAATAATAATCATGAATAATAATTAAAGATCATTTGAATCTTCGGATGAGAAGTTCAGCAATAACTGTTTTAAGTTCTGTTCCATTAATCTGTATTACTTTATTGTGTTATTTGTCTCTTTAATATTCGGGGAATTTACTGTGTCTGTTTTTAACTTACATTTAAAAACTTTACACGAATTGATTCTAATATTTCTGACGTTAAAATATGGGCGGCGCGTAAGTGTGTAATCGTGTGGATGTAACTGTAATCATTGACATAAAACACTCCTGTGATACATGTGTTTTATTATTAGTAGTATCAGTAGTAGAAGTATTATTGGTAGTATTCTTTCTCTCAGTAAAGTAACAGTTGAGTCTTTATCAGTTCAGCAGCTCATTGATCAGTTTCCTCTGAAGACGATGATTTATTTGATCT